GGTGGAAAAATATAGTTCCGAAGGGGGTAATGATCAAGCTTTTCCTCTCGGAAGCCTGCGCCACCTCATTTCCCATCAGTAATCCCAATAAAATTAACGTCGTGGCTGCGATTGAAAAGAGGAGGGCCCGCGACACTCCTGAAATAACACGCTCTCCCCCCAGCAAAAGGTGAAAACCAAAACGGCCTTTTGTTCAGCTAATTAACGAAGGCCCAACTCTGAAAGCAGATGTGTTTTCTTAGCTAATCACAGCATGTTTCTTTCAAGAAACGTCATTTTGAGGGGGCCGTTTGGGGGATGGGGAAGGAGACAGGGGACACAGCACACCCCCCCTTCCGGCTCTCTCTGCCTCAGGGGTGTCTCCCCCTCGACTAAGACCCAGGGGCTGAACCCCGGTAGCTCATTTTCCACACCTATCTCCCCCTTGGCCCTACCCAGAGGCCCAAAAGGCACCTCAGCACCGGCCCCAGCGCCAGGCCTGCTGGATTCCAGAAGGGACAACAAAAATCAAAAATCGAAAAACAACAACGACGTTTAACGACACCGATGCCACCTGAAATGAGGCAGTTTTACAATTCACTTTGAACAGGACGCTAACTTATTACAAGTGAGTTATCAGGAGGACGATAAGATTTATGACTCTGAAAGGCAGTTTTTCGCCTTACTGACAATGGATGTTAACCAGAGGAAATCGGTTCTCTGTTAGGAATGAGCATCCCTTCCCTGTTCGGGGCCATCTACAGATCCGCCCAGGAGGGCAGATACCAAGCCCCTTTGTGTCTCCTGATGAAAAATTCTCCCTTTTCTTTTTGGTTATGAAACGGGGTCTTCTTGGTGGAGAAGCACTTGGCTCCGCTTTTTTAATGTGAGCTTGGGAGAAAAAAAGAGAGAGAGAGAGAGAGAGAGAGAGAGAGAGAAAAGAAAATGGGGATGGAGATAGAGGTGAGAGGAGCACTTCTAAGCCCTGGGGTTCACCCAGTAAAACTATTTCTCCGGTCTCTTTGCCATACGGAAAAAAAAATGGCTTTCTCCTAAACCAACACAGTAAGCAAACTTTAAAAAACTGGGGTCTTATTACAAACCAACGCCCAGCACTAACTGCTTTAAAATTACTGCATAATTAGATTTAGTTGAATTTCACCATTAATTAGGCAGCCGCACTGCAGGGAGCCTTTGAAATCTGAGAAAATGGGAAAAAATCATCTGCAGCACGTTTTTAAAACCCAACTTCAATAAATCTTGACGAGGCCCGGAATTCAGAGGGTCCCTCGCTCGCCTCCCAGGCGGCGGAGGGTCAGGTCTGCAGTCTCGGGCCGGGGCTGGGATTGGACGTAAGGGGCTATCTGTCCCCTGGGCTGAGAGCTCGGCCCGGGCCCATCCACGGTCTCCGAGAGCTCAGGTCCTCGGAAGACCCGCTCTGGGAGGCCAGGTCTGTCCCGCCGCCGGCCTCGCCCACCCTCAGACCGATCACAGAAAGGGGATGCTCGCTGCAGGCCAGATCCTGCCAGGGGCGCTGTCCACGCGGGTGCAGACATTTCTAGGGCCTGGGACCACCCGCCCGGAACCGGCCCCTCCTCCCTTGCGCGCCCCCAGTCCGCCCTCCGCCCCGGAAAACCACCTTTCCTATAACTTTGACCTGCAAGCTGCAAGTTCTGCCCATGTCCGGCGGGGTCCGCAGCCTGGCCCCCACCCCCAAGTCGGCCCGCGCCGAGCCAGGCGCAGCCCCTGCATTAATGAGCGCGAGAACCGACCGAGGTCTGCACACACACACACACACACACACACACACACACACACACACACACACACACACACACACACCCCTCCCCCTATACCATTAAAACATTTCAGATCGTTTGAGGATTCAGACTTTTGCTTCCCCTAAACTGATTCTCGAAGGGAGAGAAGACATGAAATAAACTCTGCTGATTACGGGTTGGTGGGGGGGCGGCGCGCAAGAGAGAAAAGGGTCCTATGTTAGCGCTATTTGCCCTACGAATACTGCTGCCTTAATTACAGATCATCGAGGACCGATCGCACGCTCCCTGGCCAGGCAGAGTTGAAAAGAGGGTTTTCTGCCTGCAGATGGAATGGCCTTTGGCCGTCCCCCCCCCCTTTTTTTCCCCCTTCTTTTTGGGAACCAATGTGTTTCCCATTACCCGGCCCTGCCGTGCCTGGCAGCCCGGCGCTCGCGGAGCAGGGGGAGACGCCATGTTGGCTCAGCTCAGAGGACCGAGTCAAAAGCAGGCTCCGAGGCAGAGTTTCACACGCCCCGGCTCCCCCCGAGCGCCCCCCGCCCCCGCCCCCCGCGCGTCGCCGCTCGCCGCACCACCCCGGAGCGCAGCCCCGCGCGCCCGGCACCCCGGACTTTCCCGGGGCGCGGGCGGAATTCCGCCGTGCGTAAGTGGGGGGCGGGGGCCGGGGGGCAGGCACTTTGCCGCCGCCGCTGCCAACTCCGGGCCCCGGTCCCCGCGGCCGCCGGATGCTGCCCCAGCCGGCTCCGCTGAGCCAGCCCCGGACCTCGCCCGCTAACTTGGAGCCCCAGCCTCTGGCGGCCCAGGGACAGCTAAGGGCGCAAGGCCCAGGCTGGGCGACCACGCGCCGAGCGATCGGGCCAGAATCCCCCCGCCGAGCTCAGCCTCCTCCCAGGTTCGTTGGAAAGTGGTGAGAAGCAGCGATCGCCCCCCACCCTCCCTCTCTGCCCGCACTATTGTTGCATTTCGCGTCTAACTGGGGTCTCTCACACCCCCGAGCGCCGAGAGGAGGAGGGGGAGCGGGGCTGGGAGAAGAAATAAAGCGAGCTCAGATCAGATGAAGGGGGAAGGAAAAAAAAAAAAAAACCAGCAAGGAAAAAGAGACACTTAAAGGGAAAGAGTCGCCATGTTTAGCAGCTTTTTTAAAGATCTCGTCAATTTCACACAGAACGCACTCGCTGGGTCCCAGCCTTGGTCTTTTGTCCAATTCGGTCGCAGCAAAGATCTTTTGTTCTAACTCAGCGTGAAAAGAAAAACTTTCTTTAAATGCCATAAACTTCAACCAAGCTCAAGACTCTAAACAGATCCTCCTCCGGCCACTCTAAACATATACAAGAGGTTTTGTTTTAACCGTTTGAAAAATTTTGGGTCCTGTTTTTCTGCCTCGCAGACCCCAGGCTGCTTGCCGAAACTTAAGAGACAGGGCGAGGGAGATCCCCCAATGTCCACCACACATGCTTAAAGCATAATAAAACAGGGACTGTCTTTTGCTTTGAAAATCATAAATTATAATTTAATGCCAATAATAATTTACAACAAACGGCTGTTTACAATAAACTAACACAAAACAAATAAGGAAAAGGGCCTGTGTTTTACTTATTAGAGAAACTTCACACACTCACATGGACAGCACTTGTAAGAAGAGAAAATAAACACCAACCTACAAAACCTCAATCTCAGAGGTCAGGGATACTCTGCCGTAAGAACGTATTTATATTCACCTACGTGTATATCTACAGGAAGAAGCTGAGGGGTGGATGGAGAAGTCAGTTCAAGTGCACAAATCAGACAGAAATTTCTGGTCTACATGGATTCACTGGAACTGGGTGTCAAAGTTTAATACACTTTCCAAGATGGTCCCTTTTCTTTACTTCCCCTACCCACCTCCTTTTAAAATTAAACCATGACATAGGGAAATAGGGGTGGGTGGGGGGTTTGTTCTGGAAAGGCTCCATCGGAACAAAATTTCCAGCTTCCAAGGACGGAGCTTTCTCCAAACCAGGATAAGGGCTGGGGTGAGGGCTGAGAAGAGTCCAAAACAAAATAGGTCCTACTTCCAAATCAGCACACCTCTGTCAACTTTCCTTCCTTCTCTCTCTCTCTCTCTCTCCCCCCCCTTTCCTTTTTCTTAATTTGGCTTCTAAGGACAAAGGATCCCCAAAGCAGCCCACGTTGTATCTACCCAATCTGAAACGCCAGAACGACCAAGTGTTTCTATGTCCATTCACCCCAGTGGAAATGCTTCCCTTAACCTGTGGTCAGGCTCTTACAGAATGAACAGAAAGCGGGGAGGAGATAGGCAGACCACTGCAAGTCAGCACGAACAGTATCACTGCGGCCGAAATCCTCTCAACAACCACGCTAGATGAGAACCACACAATATTTTTTTAAACTCACACCTACTTCAGGCAAAACTCACTGCCAACCACTACCCTCTATTTATAATGCCGTGATTAGCTTGCTTGAACAGCCTCCTTTATAACGGTCAGATATGTACAAAACACTCGTTTTTTTCCTGATCATAAAATAGATACTGATCTCAAGATTTCTAATGCTTCTCACAATACTTTCCCTAAGCAGGCACTTAAGTGTGACAAATATAAGGGCCTTGTTTTTTTTTTCCCCCCTGGAAAATCCATTTTTAATTAAAAAGAGGATTAGGTGAATGGGGGTGGTTTACTATATCAGTATGACACTTCCTAAACCATAGATAAACCATTAACTTCAGCTCCCCCCCCACCCCAACACACACAACCAAATTAAGCAGGCAAATAACCCTAGTCCATTTTGGAGCAAACTGACTGTGGATCATAAAGAAATGGACCTCCCAGCCCACTCAGGGGAGAGCCACAGGGAGCTCTTCTCTGTGAAAGACAGTGACCGGGGACAGCCAAGCAGGTTTCAGATATCAAATAATATTTTAATTTCTGAATACTTTCAAATTTTCCTTGGAATATAACACACAAAGACTCGACCAAACAGTTCAGTTATTATAACTTGTACAGTATACAGAAATGTTGCACTTAAAAAAAAAACCTTCAGTTTTTTTTTAAAACACAAACTGTAAACTCTAAGATACTGAATCAATCACATTACCTATAAGTGCCAACAGTGTTATTTTGTCATGCTGATTTCAATGGTATTTTTTTTAAAAAGGGAATATCAACAATTATAATACAAAGGGTTTGCAAATATACAAACAGATATAGGATTTTCATAACAATTCAAGAACTAAGCGGGACCCAATTCAAATTACAAAAGTTCACTTTTTTATTGAAAACCTCAGCTTGTGTCTTGGACACACTCCTTGGCTGCCAATAAATTCCACAGTTCATTCTCTTTCTTAAAATATTTTTAAAAAGCTAGGTTTGTCTTGGTGTCTTTTTTTTTTTGGAGGGGGGCAGGGTAGGGGCAGATGAGTGTTGTATGTGGTTCTTCTGGTTCTCAAATTAGAGTGCTCAACTTCACCTAAAATTTTTTATCACCACCTTCTAAGTGCATTTCTACCACCTTTGAGTTGCCTTTTAAAGTTTTATGTCTCCCTATGGTATTTTCATGGACTCAGTTTTAATTCTTGCAGAACATATATTTGAAGGATACACAGTTTTTCAGAAGCCAAGATTATATCAAAACTTATTATAGAACCACAGAATAAACTGGTTTGCAACCAGGAAAGTACAAAAAATAACAGCTAGAAGTACATCGACACAGGACAATTAATAATTTGGAAAAAAAAAGAAAAGACTTACTTTCTCCATTCTGCTAATTTTCTCCCAATCTCCTTAAATGCACTTTTAGCAATAGTTTTCAAAAATTTACCAAAAAAAGAAAAGAAAAAGACTAATTTCCTTTTTATACAAAAAAAAATGATAAGTAGCAAGTTGTTCTGACCGACACAAGAGGCTTTTTTTTTTTTTAATGCATTCTGTAAAAGTTCATTTGACAGTCTTTTTATGTTTTGGGAATTCACAGTCCATTAAATTCTTCCCCTCTCTTCTTTTAGCAAACGTGTAACATCCTTTTATATCCTTTCTCAACAGAAGGAATTTAAGCAAACAAACCAGTCTTTTGCCTTTTCTTTCTCTCTGTTTCACTCCCCCTTCTGATTTTGATTTTTTTTTTTATTGAATTGCCATATACGGCCAGTTAAAACTGCTGCCGGACAGTAGCATATCCCGGATGAGGGTTTCGATGGGGGTTTTACCTACCAAACGGACGAAAAACAATTGCTCTATGACTGACGAGGAGACCGTGCGCAGGGAAGGGAGGCGAAGCAAGAGCTTCCCGAATCGCGTCGGTTGGTTGGGGTACTGACTCCTAACATATTCTTCCAAAGCACACTGGGACTTTTCCTGCAAGCTTTCCACATGGGCTACATCAGAGAGACCACAGGCATCTGGAAGAAAGTTAAAAAAAAAAAAGAAAAAGAAAAGAAGAAGAAGAAGAAAAAGAAAAAGAAGAAGAATTCAGTCATCAGATTAAGAGGTTTGAGACGGGTCACATGAGGTGTGTGTGTGTGTATAGCCCCAACCGGAGTTGGTGCCAATGCCTAGGACTGAAAACTTGGGGGGTGGGAGGGGGAGGGCAGGAGAGGGTCCTGGGGTATTTGCTTTAAAAATTAAACACACCTCTGCGCTGCCACAGGCTTGCACTGTCCCAGTCCCCAGGCTTGGTCCCTGGGAGGCCCAAGCAAAGTGCACTGGGTGAAATCTAGCTCAGGTCAGTAAACAGAAAGACAAACAGATGAAACCAAAAGTGCCAACGCTCCTCCCTCTCCTCCTCTGTAAATAATAGTTAGGCTTATAATTATATACTGGGGAGAGGGGGCAGCAACCTGGCCCAGCCCCGAGGAATGGCATCCACGACCCAGCCTCAGATGGTCCCCAAAGAGGGCGACTCATTTTTCTCTGGTCTTTGAAACTGATTTAAGTGGCCCTTTAAAACTGATCTTGTCAGTTTAGCTCATTGAAGGGCAGCCATGCAAACTGTGATCTCTCTGTTCATTTGAGCTGTGTCTTTCCCTCCTTTCTTCTCTCTCCCTTTTTCTCCTACCCCCCACCCCTTTATTTATTTTTTTTGAAACCCAGGTCCCTCCAAGAAGAACCCCCCCTTCCCGTCATCTCCGGGAAAACACTTTTCTTTTTCTGATAGGTAAAAATACAATAAGTGCCTTTGAAATGAGAGGCTTCTCAGGAAAGGCGGCACAGGTTGTGACCTGACCTTTGGGGACTCCCCAGACAAGACTGGGGCTGAGGCGGACACACTGTGCATCTTAAAACAGGTCTTGGAAAACAGCCACCCCACCTCCGCCCCCAGAACCAGAACACACATGCAATCTCGTCATGGGGTCCCTAGGACTCCGCCTGCCTGGCCACAGGCTGCACGGGCGTCTGTGGACAGGAATTAAAAGATCTGTTTGCGTTAGACTCCTCACCCTCTGAATCAGATAACAGGAACCTTTATCTCTTGGTGGGGTGATTTGCATTCCCCACGAGGGCCTCTTACGTTTTACAAATAGTCATAAATGAAACTGCTGCCACAGCATCGGGCATTTCTTTCCTTGGAAGACCAAGGGGAAGGCTAAGAGCGAACAATGATATCGAGAAATTACCAGCCAGCCATCCCCGGGGTCTGGGAATGTGGGCTGGGTGTGGGGTCGTGGCACCCAGCGGAAGGTGGCTGGGAAGGAGGGCACCCTCCTGCCTGGACGTCTGCATCAGGCAGACGGACCAGCTCTGACAGGTCCCCGGAGCAAAAAGAATCCAGATTCAAGCCTGTACATACAGCTCTGGCCATTGCCTTTTCATTGATTACCTAAGGACTTTGGAAGGCAGGATTTGGGGGGTGGTTCTGCACAGGGCGGGTGGGGTGGTGGTGGTGGTGGTGGATGCATGAAGCAGCCAGGCATAAAAGACTCAGACCCTGCCATGGTTTCAGCTGGTGACTTGGGTCCCCAGATTGCCCACAAACAATCTTTGTGTCACTGCCATAAAGCTCTCTCCTGGTGTCCTGACTCCCAGCTGGAAGAAGGGTGGGTGACCAGCTTCCAAGCCCTACCCACATCCACATGGTTGGTACGCTGAATTGGGAACCCTTCTTCCTTCCCAGCCTTGACAAAGGGATCAGATGACAACTCAGAACCAGAAGGTGGGGGCAGCGACACCCACCCACCCCCTTGGGCCGGGCTCAAACCTAGCTGGAGGCAGCCAAAAGGCTCAGGTGTGGCCCAAAGGGGAGAGCCAGAGACTTTCAAAAATCATTTGGCCTCAAGAGTTCATTAATACTGGATCTATTACTTACTCACACAGGTTAAACTACACGTAAACTAATTAGGCTTCATCCCGTAGTCTGTGACCGTTTCATATCTCTGGCCACCTTCACGTCCAGCTCAAATTGGCAGACACTTGGGGTTGTTTGAAAATTGCCTTAAGTGTTTGCCTGGGCTGGGGAAGCAAGAGGCCGGCGTCTTCAACCCCCTGCAGACACTCTGAAGAGTTATGCTGGCCCCTTTCTTCCTCTCTCCCCCCTCCTGGCAGTCTGCATTGTTTTACTAAGAATATGATTTTCAAGACTGGTGCCCTCCACTTGGATCTGCCTGCGGAGTTACCAGGCAAGCTTCCCCCTGCAAGACCATGCCAGGACCGCCCGGTGCCCAGGGGCATCTCCCAGAGGCTAAGCCAGGGTGATGGAAAGGACCAAGGGGGAGACAGGCTTCCACAGGCTGAGCTGGCCCAGAGGGTCCTGGTTCAGCGGGGTTAGCAGAAGCACACACCCCAGCCTGGCAGGAGGGCAGCAGGCCCCGCCAGACAGCGTGTGTGCCTGGTCCTGCAGCCCAGCCTTCCTCTCCTCTCCCAGACAGGCCTGGTGGGGCCCAGCAGCTATTCAAAGTTCTCCTCCAAGTGGCACTCAACAATTTGGCCTTCGGGGGGGGGGAGGTTGTAGGGGGGGGGCAGGCTCGCTCTGGGGACTTTCCAGAGGTCTGGGCCCTAGCTCAGGTCTTGGGACCCTTGGGCATGAGAAGGTAAGGCTCCTTCCTACCTGAGGTGAACAGGACTATGGCCTTGAGGCAGCTGTACTCGGCGGAGTCGACGTGCAGGGCCTTGAGCTTCTCCACTTGCTCTTGGAAGATCCGTATGTGGTCCATAAAGGCGACCACCCGGTCGGCAGACATGGGCGAGGCGTGGAGGCCGGCGGCGGCCAGGAGCGGGGCGACGTGGAGGGGCATGGAGCACTGCGCGGCGTTCAGCACGAACAGCTCGCTCCAGGTGAGGCGAAGCAGGGCCACCTGGTCGGTGATCTGCAGGTCAGGGAAGAAGGGGATGTTCCGGGCCCACTCGACGGCGCTGAAGAGCATCCGCGCGGCCAGTTCGCAAATGTTCTCGATGCCCATGATGTTGTTAGGCTGCATGCACTGGCTGCCGAAGCGCGACGTGGGGTAGGGCTCGGCGCGCAGCAACAGAGAAATATATCCCGACAGGTACGAGTGGCAGTTGAGGGGGTCCCCGTTGGTCAGCGCAAACTGCCCGTGGGTCGGCTGGGTGGGCGGCATCCTGCCTCTCTGCACCGCTGTGGGGAGGAAAGAACACACGTCTTAGTTAATGGCCAGCCTTGGTCCCCAGCGCCCCTGGCAGGGCCTGACCCAGCCCGACCCCCACCTGACCCAGACCCCGCACCGCGCGAGAACAGGCAGGCTTGCCCCTCCGACGAGTGCACCCGGGCCACAGCCCCGGGAGTCGCCGGGAGCCCCCGCAGCGGTTCTCTCCAACCACCACCCAGGCCAAGTCTGGCGGCCACAGCGGCGCACTTGCCTCGGAGGCCCGCTCGGGGCTGGGCCGCCGAGCACCCAGAATTGGCCACTTTGCCTCGGGGTCCCCGGCGCGGTGGGCGGGATGGAGCATTCTGGGGGCATCTTTCTTCTTTACTGCTAAACAGCTGATATTTCTTATTGATTGGAGGAGAGGGAGCGGGAGGGGCGAGTCTGGGGGTGGGGAGGGAGAGATGCTTTTGCAAAAGACACAAGGGTTCACCCCAGACGGCCTGTGGCCGCCCCGGAACGCCTCTCCCCCAAAGCCTGCAGCCCCGGCCCTGGCCCAAGCCCCGGGCCCAGTCCGGCGGGGGTCTTTCGGGCAGAAACGAGCGGATCGCTGACGTCTGGCGGCAGCCCGATCAGTGTGCTCGCAGAGAGGAAGACAGAGGGAGAGGGCGGAGAGAGAGAGAGGCGGGCCGTGGCGAGAGGAAGCCGGGGAGCAAGCGGCCGGCGCAGCCCGCGCAGGGCCCGGGAGGGCCGGGGAGAGCCGGCGAGGCTCGGGCTGGGGCTCTGATCTGACGCTGGCCGGGGACATCCGCGCTCCCAGGAACACAAAGAAAGCCCTGCGATCGCTCGTTCCAACCCGGAGCCCGCGCCCGGCGCGCCATTGGCCGAGCCCGGCTCGCGGTGCTCGGCGAATTTTCGATCACAAAGACCCAACTCGCGCAGGGCGAAAGCAGCCGCCGAGGGCCCTCGCCCACCCTCGCCCTACTCCCTACCGCACTCTCCTCCTTTCAAAAGTGAAAGGAAAAAGGGAAACAGAGGAATTTTTTTTTTTTAGCAGAATGTTAATCCACGGAGGGTCACATGAGCGCAGCCCGGGCGGTAGCGTTAATACGGCGAAGTGCATAAAATTGCCATTTGTAATTTGAACCTCCTGTACAAAAGTACAATCTCAGGTTGATTTTTTTTTGAGAGGGTGGGGGCTGGGGAGAGGTGGGGAGGAGGGACATATGTTGAACATGCAGGGAAAACCAGGAGAGAGAGGGAAACTGAGAGGAGACAGAGAGAGAAGTAAACCAGGCTTTAAAACAACAACGGCAGCAAACACCACCCCAGCCCTGGCAGAAAGGCGAACTCGAATGAACTCGCAATCCACGCAAAGAACATGAAACCGGCCCAGAGAGAAAGTGGAGGAGATCAGTCGGCCAAAGCATGCGCGCCTGGGGGCTCTGGGTTCCAGTGCTGAACTTGCTTCTAGCATCAACCCCCTTTGGAGCTGCAGTGGAAGAGCCGAGCAAGGGGTCCAGGGTCCTTACCCAGAGCAGGCTAGCCAAACGCCCCCAGGGCCCCGGGACCCCAGGCGAGGGGGGAGAAATGAGAGGCCGATACCTTCCCGTCTCATGCCCACTTTGAGGCACTTTTTGAGGCGACAGTACTGGCACTGGTTGCGGTGGTGCTGGTCGATGGGACAGTTCCGGTTGGCGCGGCACGTGTAGCTCAGGTTCCTCCGCACACTGCGCTTGAAGAAGCTCTTGCAGCCCTCGCACGTGAACTGGCCGTAGTGCTTGCCGCTCGACTTGTCCCCGCACACCACGCACTCGATGTGCTGCTGCTGCTGCTGCTTGTCGCCGCCGGGGCCGCCCTGGCCGCCGGCCGCCGTCTGGGCCGGGGTGCTGGCAGGGCCCCCTTGGCCGGGCGTCTGAGGCGTGTGCGGGGCGCCGGGCGGTGGGCCGGGCACCGGAGGCGCCTGCGAGGCCTGGCTGCCCTGCGAGCCGGGCACCTCGTCCTGGGGGTCGCGCCACGTGCTGACTACCATTGCCATATCTATGGGGGCCTCGTCCGGACTTCCTGCTCCCCTGGCTGCGGGCGGCGGCGGCGGCGGCGGCTCCCGGGTCGCGGGCTCCGGTGCGCCGCCTTTTGTGTGTGCGAGGGTGCGAGAGGGCGCGGGAGGGCGCCCCGGGTGGCTCGGGGGCTGGCTGGTTGAGGTTGCTTAGTTTTTTCCTTTTTTGTTTCTGCTTTTGCAAAGTTTTGTCGATGGCTTGTCGGGCCCGGTGTGTTTGTTTTGTTTGTGTCCCTCGGCTCAGCTTTGTTGGTTTCGGGGGGCTTTCCGCCGGGAGGGGCGGGGAAGGGCAGGGGGAGAGCGAGTGGGAGCAGAACGTGGAGAGAGAGAGGGAGGGGAGGGAGAGCTGCAAGTCGATTGTCTGGCTTCAAGACAGAAGTAGGAGGCAAAAAAAAAAAAAAATCTCTCCAAAGATCTCGCTCGCTCTCACTCTCTCCCTCCCTCTCTCGTTCACTCTCTCGCTCTCAGAGCTGGTGTGCCGAGGAGTTGGAGGAGGAGGAGGAGAAGGAGGAGGAAGAGAAGGAGGAGAGGCGACTGTCCGGGGGCCAAGTCCAGGGCAGCCCACAGTCAGCCATTCAGGAAAGCCATCGAAATCGGGAGGACCGGGAGAGCGGAGGCGCCGGTCGCCGGCGCGCCCAGGGAGCCAGGCAGGCCGGGGCGGAGGCCGGCGGCCCGCGGAGTGGCCGGAGCGCTGCCCGGGTCCGGGGGAATCAGCATGAAAGTGGTCCGCGTCCGGCGCTGCGCGGCGTCGTCCTGGCGCTGGGCCGCCGGCGCCGCCTGCCCTGGGCGCCCGGCGCGCGCCTGGCTCGCTCGCTCCGGCCGCCGCCGCCGCCCGCCCGCTCGCGCCGGATGGAGGCCGCTGGACGATCCCTGCGGGCCGCCCGGGCCGCCGCCGCCGCCGCTGCCGGAGCCGCCGCCGCCGAAGCCGCCGGGTCGGGCCCGGAGCCGCCGCGTCTAGCGCCGCCGCCGCCGCTGAAGCCGCTGCTGCCGCTGCTGCCGCCGCCGGAGCCGCTGCTGCTGCTGCTGCCGCCGCCGCCTCACACACATAGGGAAAGAGTCAACTCGCCGGCGGCGGGGGAGAAATGATAAAAGAGGGAGAGGAGGGCAGATCACCACCTAGAAGCACATCCTTCGTGCGCAGAGCGGGGAGAAAAAGACGGAGAGAAAGAATGAAAGAGGGAAAAAAAGGCAGCACGGCACCCGGAGGAAGGAGGCAACTCGGGGAGAGGAGGAGGAGGAGAAGAAAACACACACGCGCGCACGCACACACACACCGCGGAGAGAAAAGAACAGAGAATCAAAGTGATCAAATATGCTAAAAAGGGGGGCGCGGGAGGGAATGCGATTTATAGGCGCCGGGGCTGGCAGAAGTGGCTTCTCCGCGATCAGCTCACTGAGCTCTCTATATAGTGAACTTTGACACGACTGCTGCAACTTAGCGCACGTTGCCATGGCGACGGCGCGCCTTATAAGGCAGCAGCCGGGGTTGGCCTGGCCAGGCGCGCGCGCACCGCCCCCTCGCCGTCATTGGCCGGAGCGCGGCGGCCCCGCCATGGCGGCCGCGGGCGCAGCTCGGTCCTAGCGCGAGCGTCGTCTCGGCCGCTGCTCCGGGCGCGCTCAGGGCGCGGGGCGGGGTGGGGGGGGGTGGGGACGGGGAGGGGGCGGCCGTGTCCCCGCGGCCGCCGAGCTGAGGGATCGGCCTCGGGCGCCCCGGGCGCGCAGCTCCCGCGCTCTGCGCACCGCGCACCCCGCACCCGAGGTTTCCGCCCCAGCGGGGAGAGGAGCGCGGCGCGCACACAAAACGCTTCTTAAAGGCTCCGCGAGAGGCTCGGGATGGAATCGAGGACTTCGCCGCTCGCAACTTGGCGAAGCCACGAAACCCGCGGCGCGCGCACCACCCGGGACTCCCGGCGCATCTTCGTGCCCGCGTCGCCGGAGAAAGAGAAAAGTTCCCCGCTCTGCTCCAGAGGGATGGCGGGTGGGGGGCGGGACCGGGCCGCCGACCGACCCTGCGGGCAATTTCCAAACGAAAGACTGGGCCAAATCCGGGCGAGGGAGACCTTTTTCTTAATCACCTCTGATCACTTTCTTGGTTTGGTGACTTTTTCTTTTTTCCTTTTTTTTTTTTTAATTAAGAGGGAAAAAACTGATCAGAGCCTGTCTTTTCCTTGTAGGGTTAACATTTCACAGGTATGTGGCCTGACATTTTAATTGCTCACATAAAGCATCTCGGATGTTGAGAAGCAGAAATAGACTTCATCTCATTGTCATGACGCAACTGAAATAAATTTTCCTTAACTTTATCCTCTCTCGTCGGTTTTGGCTAACTCCAAAGCCAACATTCTGCCACCCACCCAGGCGTGGCGAGAAGGGAAAGACCTGTCTGCCCGCTGATGGGCGAGCAGAGGCAGTCTCCCGGTCGCCCCTGTGCACACCCTCTGCACACACATGTACATGTACACGTATGAGGTGCACATTCGTCAATGTACCCAGACAAAGACGTCAGCGACTGTGCTTCTAGGTCATACAACAGTTCAGGACGGGCTCCATTGTTCCTCAGAGGTCCTTAAAGCAGTCGTACGGTCACTGAAATACACCCAGAGATTCTGCCCCAAATGGGGAATAATAACACCGCAGCTCACAAGAACCACACACCAGCCCCAGTCTACCCCAAGAAGAAATCCAGTACAACAAGATCAACTTCATGGTCTCTGCCATTCTGCTCCATGGGCTAAAATCACCCAGACGGTTACAGGTTGTGTCTCTAAATTCTAGGGCAATGGCTTTAAAACATCAAACATCTAAAATTGCCACCTCGCCCCACGCCACCAGAACACACTGTATTCCAACACAGTAACCTTTCTTTTTGATTAGTACAAGTTAGTGGATTATGATTATTCCACATCCACAGAAGAACATTGTGTCTCCGTCATACACACTTTGTGCCGAAAACCCCTGTAAACTGGTAAGCCAACCAGGTTTATGAACAATTAAAATATTTTACACAAAACACGCCGAGCTGCAGGAAATGGGAACGCATATAAATAGTAATGAACAACCACAAGAAAGCACCTTTGATAGCTCAAAAAATCAAGGAGCTGAAGGATTTTTAAAAGAAAAATAAACCACACGTAAAACTGACAAGTGTCGATTGCATTTTGCGTTCAGTAGCCTGTGTACACACAGGCGGAACACAAGGTACGGAATAGATGGAACTGTAGGCAGATAAGGGTTAGTTTTTAGTGAATGGAAAACAAGCCCTCTTTCCACTTCATTTCTGAGCCCCTCTGAGCTCTCACCCTTTCTCTGCTGAAATCACGTATTTCATGAAAGCTGCAGGTGCTGGGATTATTTGAAAATTGTAAAAAAAAAAAAACCCAAAATATACCCAACCTATAGTGGACACTGAACTATCATAAACCTGGTGTGTAATGAGATTTTGCCACAGAGTGAAGCCAGGCTGAGAATTTCAGGTTGATTAGAGGCACAATATAACTTTCTTCTAAAGAGAACAAGAAGCATGGAAAAGAAATTATCTCAGGGAAGGATTCTCTCCCCGCCCCCTCAACCTCTATGATTCGAGAAATTGCCCAGTGCCATAAATGTCAGTAGATTGGGGGCCAACTCAGCAGAGATTGGTGGGGCTGGGGTTGAAATAGGAAATCTGAGGGGCATGTCCATCTCCACCGAATAGAAGATGGGATCATTGATTTTAGGGAAATCTTCATTTTGCCTGTTGTACAGACATGTTCATAGCAAGATCATCTTTAACAAACAAGCAGTGGGAAAATTTTGAGGAGGAAGAGCTTCCCAAGCCCACTGAGAGCTGTTTGGTATTTGATGTCTCCTTTGCTGGCCTCAGATTTAAGAGAAGAATTTCCCAACCATCTCCAACAAGACTGGGAGCTCGCTAGGGGCACAACCTCAGGGCTGCCATGAAGCCAGAAGCGTTTCACTCTGTATTTGGGCACTATTCATAGATATGCAGATGATTTCAAAGCACCAAAAAAGTATTAATTGCAATTAATTTTACTACATAGGAGGACTGCAGACTGAGAAGGGGGGGGTGAAAAAGGAAAATATTTTTAAATGTCTTCTCGAGAGATGCTCATTTCCCTGAGATAAAATAGCTCTAAGATTAACCAATAAATATCAATATATTGTTAGCATTAAAAAAAAATTCAGCCCAGGCTTTTATTGCAGATGTAAATTTATTTTAATGAGAAGAATGGCAAGCTTTGATTTGGCCGGGAGAAAGTTGGAAAAACATTTGTCTTACTCCGGGAATCAAAAGAGAAGAAAAGAAAGCCCACCCAGGAATATGATTTCATTACAGAAGGGGGTCTGACGGCAGTAATTCCTCACAGATTAAACCGCGATATGAATACAGACCCCAGCAAACGCCGAGTTTAACTCTGAACTCAGTGGAAACCAGTTCTGTCCACCAGGACTCATTGAATTCCTCCTTCCCCTCAATCTAGTCCGTGTGTGTTTTTCTCTTCCCCCACACTGGAGCCCTATGAATAGGAAAAGGGCCTTCCATTGTATCCCTGTGAACTTCCAAGTCAATGCAATTTTTAACCACTGGCTTGTGGTACTTTGAAAATCACCAGGGGCTGTCAGAGTTGGGTCCTCTGAAAAATTTACAGTGCTAAATCAGAGCATATGCTGGGAGGGAAAAAATTGCTTGGGATTGGAGCAAGTACAGTATCTGTCTGCCCCCTAGTGTAAGAGTCTTCGCTGCCTAAAATTCAACTTTAAAAGAAAAGGAGCTCTTAAAGGGAAACGACTTTAGGTTCACGTAGGCGTAGGAGAATGAAACTTCTGTACATTTAAATCTGAATAATTGCCCAGGATTTAAAATTAATTGGCTCTGGCTTGCTTGGACCGGACTTGGATCTCGCCACCTTTTGCGTTTCCCGAGTCACTGGCAGAGAGGTGATGATATCCGCCCCCCCCCAACCCTGAACTGGGTTTATGTGCGTCCCTCGCACCCCCTCCTCTCCCTTTCTTTCTCTGTCTCTGTCTTCTCTCTCGCTGGCTTTTTAAAAATGAGGACCCGTTCCTTGAACGTTCTGGACGGAGCCCAGAATTGCTCCTTAAGTCCGCCCGCCGCGGTTGCAATAGACAGCCAAAAGGTAAACGTTTGCCTGAAATCCGCACGCCGGCTCCACCACCCCGCCGGATGGTGAGTACCCTTCTCCGTCGCGATCGTCCCCCACCTTCCTCCTAGCTTAGCCGAGCGCTCGCCTCCCCGAGCCGCGGCCGAGGCGCCGGGCACAGCTCGCCTCCCTCCCTGCACGGCTGGCTGTCAGCTGCACAAGGTTGCAAAACACAGCTCAGCGGCCAACCTAACAGTAAATTCTGATACTTAGTGCGAGCCGAGCCGCCCCTTTGCTAGAAAACCCGAGTCATCTATTGCTTGGAAAAACACGCTTAGAGGACTGCCTTGCAGTTTGCTCGACCGGAGGCAATGAGTTTGACCAGACAGGACGAGGAGAGGGGAGGCAGTCTTTACGCTCCGGTTTAATCATATTTTGGCAGCTTCGCAACTGTATTCCACCCCCCACCCCCCTCCACCACACACATGTAATAAAATATGGCAATGCATTGAATTGACTGTCCCCCCCCCCTTCCCGGAACCCCTTAAACCACAGTCCCAGGCATTTCATACACGTTAGCAACCCGATTTTCTGAAAAACCCCAAGTCATCCCCAACCCCACACAGCATAAGGAGGAAAGTGAGAGAGAGAAGAAGAGAGAGCGAGCAAAAAATATATATATATATACTGTAAGCGAACATACCAAAACCATATTTGCCTTGTTCAAGGTCCCAAATCGCTTGCATCTTCCTGCTAAAAACTGGAGTAACTCTCCTTTAGTTTGGCGGGTGAAATAAGCGCTTTGTTGGACCCCTGAAAAGATGTGTCTTTGATAATTAGAGACTCTCTTCCTCCGTGTTTGCCTAAGCGATTGTGCAAACTGATAGAAAGTGAGCTCTAGCCTGCAGGAGGGAACCGGAGGCAAGGTGAAGGGAGAGCTCTTCCACCTGAAGGAAGGGCTTCTCCATGTAACTGGTGCTCTCAGCCTTGGAAGAGCCTGCGAGCTAACTTTAGAGAGAGGAGGTTTCAGAGAGCTTCCCCATAGCTGCTGAGGAATGCAAGCCTCGCCTTTAAGAAAAAAAAAAAAAAAAAAAAAAAAAAAAACCCAAACCGTAGGTAGAAGATGTCTGGAGTGATCCTTGTCTCTCATCTCATTCCTTAGAAGGAAGAGGGCCGTTGTTACACCTTGTTTGGGGCTGGAAAGACGAGACTTTAAAAACACCCGTCCAATTGGGGGGGGAAAAAAAAAAGAAAACCCTCCCAACTTAATGAGTTTAGTCGGAGGCTGGAGCGAGCGACTCAGCCTCAGCAGAAAAGCGCCAACGAGGCCAGGCTGCGGCGGGGCAGGAAGACCCGAGGCACAGCCAGATTCCACTGTTTGGGGTCGAGAGGGATGGAGGCTAAATCCTGAAGCAAGTAGGGAAGAAGCAGAGGTGTGAGAGGAGGGGGAAAAGCAGGCCGGCTCGCCCTCACCCTGGAGCAGAGTTAGATCCTGAAATAGAAGAGCAACGCTTTTCCTGGGAATCCGCTGGAATTCCCTCCCCCCCCTACTTTTCACTCAAGTTCCCCCAAGTGATTTTTCCCCTCTCCCCTGCAGGTCTGTGTGCCCCCCCCACCCCCAGCATACCCAGTCCCCATTCTAGAACTTTCCTAAAGAGGAAACCTGTTCCTTTTGGGGGGGAGGGGTTCCCCACTTCCTGCCAGCAGATAATGAATGCTTAATTTACCTTCTCCCTTCCCCCCACCTTCCAAAAATGAATAAAGGAAGCAAGACCCCAGTAACTGGAGAAAATGAGAATAAAGTACGCTACGTCTCGCCGTTCAATACAGTTTTAACTAATGGATTTTTTTTTGTTTTGTTTTAAGAGAAGAATAATGGGGAAACACGGATCTTTTATTTTAGGGAAGTGGATGGTAAGATGTGTGTCAGACTTGACAAACGGAACTAAAGCTCTCCGACTGCTTCTTGTCCTCGCCTTAAACAGGAATTAAGTTAAACACAGTGCTGAATGTTAATTACATGTTTACTGGCTAATGAAAATTACAAATGGTTTTGCCACCTCAAAAACAATGATGAAAACTCTGAAGACACTGTAATTATATACTTTGAGGGAAATAACTCAGAATATTGATCATAAGAAGTGTAAATCTTTTTTTAACTATTCATTAATACCATAAATATGGGCTCCAGAAGTTTTTCCTTGCGGTTTGTCCCATTGGTTCCACCGAGTGGATGGTATGGCGAGGCTCCTGGGTGGTGAACTCATTCTCGCCGAGAAGGAGGCCACTTGTGTAACCGAGGGGGGGTGCCCCCTCCTTTTCGCCCCCGCCCCCTGTAACCCCAGCAGAAGGTCGAGGGATGGTTGAACAGGGGGGCCGGGCTCGGGGCAGGTGAAGGTGATCGCAGCGCAGCCTCTCCCCTCCCATCCCCTCCCCCCTCCCCTCTTCTCCCTCCTCCCTTTCCAGCCAGGTCTGATCGATGACCGCCTCCCCCAGCCCGGGCGCCTGTCGAATAACCTGGCATTCGAGTCCCTAATGGAGGACACCCCCTGCACCCCGGCGACACGCCGCCCTGACAACTCCACTCCCCCTCCTTTCGAGGTGGCGAGGGCAGTTCATGGCAGAAAGAAGAAAATAAAGTTGAGGGCAGAGGTGGTTACTGCGTGCAGGCGGGCGGAACCAGAACCGGTTTCCCTGGGGTCGGGAGCCCAGGAATATATATGTTTGCTTTGTTTTCTTTTAACTTCGGCCCGAGAGGGACTCTGCACCCTCTGGCAGCCACGGCGATCCTGGGGGTCAAAGGTGAGGGCTGCACTAACCCTAAAAGGCTGGTCTGGCCGGAAGGCCTGGCGCAGGGAGGCGTAGGGGGTCAGGCACCCACCCAGCCTGGCGCTCCGGAGGGGGCGCCTGGGAAACCTGCACGGTGGTGGTGGGGGGGGGGACACAGCACCCGACAGCGGTGTTAAGTGCGATATGGAGGATTTTTAAAAAGTGCCCTAGGCTTGTGGGGCTGGAGTCCTCTTTCTCCCGGAGAATTCCCAAGGCACTGGTCTTTGTCTTAGAAGGAATGGAGTTTCTGAATGGTGTGAAAGGGACAGAGAGGGTCGCTTCAAATCGATTTTACTTGTCCTTTCTGTCTTTTCGGATCAACGCCCTTCAATGGGCACGGAGGTGCTCTTTCAACCAAAAACTTGTGCTACATTTTCTGCCTGTGTTGGTGCTAACCACAATGAGCACTGGGCAGATTTTTTTTTCCCCTTTGCTCTCCAAAGCAAGAAAGCACCCTAATTAAATTGTTTTATATGGACAGTCAAGACGGGCCAATTAAGTATGCATTAGTATAAAGATATAGTCTGCAGATAAGGCGGCTTAGAAAATCAGGTGTAAGACAAAGGAGAGGGCGCCAGCGTCCGGGAGGGGAGAGTGGACCCAGCAAAGTCGCTCACCTTCACCGGGCCCCGGGGAGTCGCAGAGGCCCGGGCCTCAGGCGACAGTGTCGGAGCCCCCAAGGCCCGCGTCTCTGGCGGAAGGAGAGCGGTGGAGACCAGGCGGTTAGTATCGCTCATACCCTTCTGCTCGGACAATGTACCGGTCCCAGGTGGCGGGGCCCGTAGGAGGTGGCGAGGGAGCGCTGTGCCCCACTCTAGGTCAGGCCCTTTGCTCGGTGTGTAGGTTCAGGGCGCGGCCCTGCTGTAAGGAAAGAGTGCGCGCCCGGGGGAGGCCGGGAGGACCGGAGGGGCACAGACACTGCCCCTGTCGTGGCCGCAAACCTCCGGAAACCAAGATCAGGGTTGGAGGCTCCCTTTCAACCCTGCCAGGCTGTGCGCTTTTTTGCTTTTAAGGAAACGGAAGGTTCTCGGCCGGCCAAGTAAAGTTCCCACCCGACGCCACCACCGGCCCGAGGGGCGTAGAGGCCCAGCCGCAGAAGTGGGGGAATGACGAGGGCCCGCAAGAAGGTAGCGAGGAGACTAGCACCGCGTTCGGCGAATTCGGCTCCGGGCTTCTCCACCCCCTCTCCGCCCTCTGTGGGGTGGGCGGGCGGAGTGCATCTGGCCCGAGGGCTGCGACCCCCAGAGCAAGGGGCCTGGGCCTCCTCGTGTCTCCGCGCAGGGCTGTGATAGGTGGTCCCGGGGCCTCGGGGGCGAGAGCGCAGCGCGCCGCTGCACCTAGGGCGCGCGGGGCGCACAAGACGTCTGGGTCGGGGGCGGGATGGGGAGAGTAGGGGGCGAGAATTAGAGCCTGGGGAGGCGGCTGAATGTCAAGAGTAAAAAGGTTGGAAAGCCAATTTTCCAGGCGCGCTTTCGCCGCCCCCCCTGCCCCCGCCTTTGCTGGTTGCGGAGGCCGTAAATCAGCGGCCGGCGGCGAGGGAGGGAGGAGCCCCCTTGGCGGGCCCGGCGCGGCCCCGCCCGGACCCTGCGCACCTCCCGGTGGGCCCCGAATCGATCCGAAGCCTAGCTGAGGATGTCACCGCACTAAATATTTACTGATCACACACAAATAGCCGGGGCCCGAACGATTTTCCTCTGTGCGGAGAGCGCAGAGAGAAGGGTAAATCATTTTATTAGTGTGGATAAAGCCCAGAGCACACTCCGGGCTGGAGTGTTTTAAGATGTGTCTTCAACTGGATGAAAAGAGTTAGGGAAATCGATACCGGGTGATTAGAAGCCCCCGGGGTGACGAAGTGGGCCGGGGCTTTCAGGGATTTGGCGAGGCTGAAAGGGGGGAGCGAGCCTCGAAGGGGGCGGCCCGACCGCCGCCAGGGAGCTCCCGGGCGCAGGCCCGTGTCCCTCTCTCCTCGACGGGCGACGCCGGGGCTCACCGAGGGGCAGGGAGCCCGCACCGGCCGGCTGGGGGCTGCGCGGGCTGCGGCGGCTGAGGGCTTGGGATCCAAAGTCTCCACGCCGTGAGGGGCAGCGGCCAGGTGGCCACCAGAGTGGACCGCAGGCCCGGCCGGGGACACTGGAAGTTTCTCCCCCCTCGCGGTCTTTCTGAGCTGCCTTCAGGAGTAAAATTGTGGCCCAAACGCCTGTATTCCCCCCAGCCCCCACCGAGGCTCGCAGCATCCTCGAACTTTCTGTCTGATTCA